CACGGGACCCAAGAAGGTGGACATCAGTTCCCCAGGTGAGGTCCTAACTACGGCTTGTAACGCCGGATCGATGTCCGCAGGGGTGCTACTTCACTTGATGGGAATAAAATACTTCCAGATCAAAGCTCGTCAACCTTGAACGTACCGTCATCCGCAAATTCTTGTCATTGGAAAGCAAGGAATAGTTTGTGGTCGGTAGAGGTGTAGTGTCGGCCATTGATACGATGACGATACCTTCTGGTGGTGCGATGGTTCACAGACGGGGCAGCTCGAAGAACACGACGGCCGGCACAAGCTGAGAAGAACAAGGGAGCGAAGCTTCCATTGACTCCGGAGACTGAAAATTAGCAGGCAACAAGCATGTATCTGCAGCCTGGCTGTTGTGAGTCTCTGTCAGGAACAAACAAACTGTGATAAGTGCCTCGCAGCAGGAAAAGGTTAAAATTTCCAAGCAGTTTGCGTCACGCGCCATCACTACAGGAGGTGTTTGGATCATTGCCCATCCGGCGCTTCCGCCCCAACCCTCCTTGTCGTTTCATTTTGTCCGCGTCCACGAGCTTTATTTCGTGGCAAGGATTTCGAAATGGAGCGTGCGCAACACGCATGTACCACGGAAGTCGGTCAACACATGGCAGGCGTGCTAGCGCTGGAGCACACGGTCCCGGCTGCGTGTCCAATTAGGGCGCAGACGGTGTTCTCTTTTCCCTGACCACACAGTCCGCCCTGCGCATGCGTTGAACCTGACCAAGATCGTGCACATGGTGCGGCTCCGCGTCCCTTCCGTCCGCCTTCATGTCACCCCCATCGTTATCACCTCACGCCGTGCGTGCACGGCGGTGTCAACATTTCGAGGCGCGGTCGAAGTGTGCACAGAGACACCGACACAGGCAAAGTCCTTCACCCTTTTTTTTTTTTCGTTTTCCGCGATTGCTGTTCGTCCGTTGGGATTGTCCTGACCCTCTGAAGGGAATGGAAAGGGGGCGCCCAAGCCCCTGCAATCACGAGGATGCGTGTGCTGCCACTTGTTTCATTTGCTTGCTTTCACCTTTTGAAAGGGGAAGGCGCCACTGGAGACCCTTCGTTGTTGATTGTCAGACGGAGAGTTGCACAAGCCTCCTGGAAGCCGTCCTTTGACATCTCGTTCGTGAGTGCGCCCTACTAAACACCCTTCTCCTCTTCCTGTGTTCACATCCAGAGTTACTGAGGCCCAGGTAGTATCCTATCATCCTCTTTCTTTCAGTCTTTCCTGAGCTTCCGCCTCCATCATGTCGGCCAAGGCGATTCGAGAGTACTACCGGAAGCAGCTCATCGCGCGCTGGCTCCCGGAGTACAGCAATGGGCGGCACACAACCGACAAGAAACAAGTCCTTATCACGCCCGATGTGTTGGAGCCGACGAAGGGTCAGAGTTTCGAAGTGATCGCACAAGCGAACCCGTGGTTGTTGAAGGAGAAATTGGTGGTGAAACCCGATCAGCTCATCAAGCGCCGTGGGAAGGCCGGTCTGCTTGCTGTGAACAAGACCTGGGAGGAAGTTCAAGCGTGGATCTTGGAGCGAATGCAGCGTGAGGTGCAGGTGGAGCAAGTGAGGGGCGTCCTGAACCATTTCATCGTGGAGGCCTTTGTTCCGCACTCCCAAGATGAGGAGTACTACTTCTGCATCGTGTCCAACCGGGAGGGGGAAGAGATCCTCTTCACGCACGAAGGTGGTGTGGACATTGGAGACGTGGACGCCAAGGCCTTGCGCATTCAAGTGCCTTTGCAGGAAGAGCCGAACCCCGAGGCCATCAAGGCTGCCCTCTTGGCGCACGTGCCTGCGGCCAAGCAAGATTTCCTCGCCACCTTTTTGGAAGGAACCCTCAAGCTTTTCCGCGCGCTCAACT